CCTTATGGTTTTGTTTTCTTTACTTGGCATTGTGTGTGTGTGTGTGTGTGTGTGTAACTAAAACCTATTTTAAAAACAAGGGAAGCAAGCCCAGGACACAGAAGGGCAAACCACTGAACCTCTCCGAGACCAAAAAGACGTTTGTTGAACATTCCAGGAGACGCTCTGGGCAGCCTCTGATTCACTGGCCTCCCTCATCGTCTGCAGCTCCTGGCTTAGGGAAGCTGCCAAAGCACTTTCTCTATGAGCTGTAGCTCTCTGCTCCTGGTGCTGCAAAAGGCAAAAGTTCAGAAGCGAAGCCTTTACCTTTCGCATGTTTGCTTCTTATATAGCAAATGGTGCACTCGCCTAGAACTGGGTCCAGGGGCACTCCTGGTCTTGAGCATATTCTTAGAGCTTTGCATAAGTGACGAAGTATGTTTGCTGGAATGGGTCAGAGGTGCATAAATGTATATTGTCCCGGGCAGCATTAACCAGATGGTCATGTCTGACAAGAGTAATTCCTGCCCCCACTCCACTCTCATGTTGACTGCCTCACCAAGGACACAGTCGTTGAATCAAAAGGGTGTTCCTATCTCAGATGCTGTGGAGTTTGTTTTTCTTGGTGTTTTCTTTTATATTGACTAATACTAATTAAATGTTTCTGGTCACATCTGCCGAGCATGGTTTTATCAATTTCCAAACACAGGAGAGAAAGCCAATTCAAAAAAGAATTTAAAAAAGGGGAGAGAAAGGAGATGAAAACAATGAAAGAGAAAAAGATAAATGGGGATCTAAATTTAAATTCCGAGTCTCTTGGAAGGAAAAACAAAAAAGATGTCCCTGCTTTAGTTTTGATGCATTCCTGCTTCAATGGAGAAATCTTCTGTTTGGGTTATTCCTGTCTGTGGGGACTGGCAAAGGTCTAGAACTGACAAGGTCTTTAGCCTTTGTGAGGCAGTTCATGGCAGTCTGCTCTTAATCCAGTTTGGCCTCAGATACTGCATTTGGAATATTCTGCCTTTTTTTTTTTTTTTTTCTTAACGGAACTATTATTCTCTCCCTAAAATGTTCTGGAATATTGTTCCAAGGAGTATTTTGTTCGTTGAAATTTAAATGTTTTGCCTTCCCATGCTCTCCTGAGGACCATGTTTGTGTTTATCCCTGCCTCGGGCCTCCTGTATCTCCACTGTCAAAAGCAGTGATTTTAAAGACCCTCAACCACCAATGAAGTTCATGACCTCCAATCTCAGTGACAGTTCAGGAACGGTTTGAAATTAAATAACTGCAGGGAAGAGTGGTGAGTTGAATCGTGGGTACCTGGATTGAGTTAGGTCACCTGCTTCTAGGACAGTGACTAGTTTTATGACCTTGATAAAATTCACTCTTTCTCTGGGTTTTGGTTTCCTCATTTCCATAAGAAGGAAATGCACCAAGTGTTCTCTCAGCTTTAATGATGTGGATTATATGCTAAGTCGTATTTGGTGTTTTTCATACAATTTCAGGGCTACCTTTCACTCTACCAGGAAAATATTGAGTTTGATTCCTGCATGGCCCTGTTTTTATGTTTTTTAATTTTTCTTTTCATTTTATTTTCGTTTATGTTTCACATAATTAATAAATGTACATAGAGAAACTTCAAACAGTACGGAAGAGAAAAAGGAAGATCATCTCCCATCCCTTACACCCAGTTTCCTCTCCAGAGGTACCCACTGTTACCAGTTTCAGGTATACCCTTCTAGAGAGATTTGTGGTATGTACATGATCTGTCCCACCTTTTCTAACCACAGATAATAGCACGCTCATAAATATAGTCTGTCCCTTGGAGTTTTTCCCCTCTAGGCAATCTTTCTTAGAGACTGTTCTATATAAGTACCTGTAGAATTCTCTCATTCTTTGGAATCGTTACATAGAATTTCTCTAAATGGGTGGAGCATAATCTCCCATTGGTGGGCATTAAGATCATTTTTAGTCTTTTGCTGTTATAAACAATGCTGTGGTGAATATCCATTGTACAAGCTGCTCTGCTGGTGTATGCTTTACTTTGAAAACAAAGCCACTGTCTAAGTTCCACTCTTCCAGACTCTACAGTTAATAACCAGAGATGTTTAGTCTGAATGGTCAAATCTAAATTAAGTGGAAGAAACCAACATCTCCACTGTTACTCCCTGCAAATGTCTCTTGTAGGGGTTGGTGTTTTGAAGACTCACAGGGTGTGGTTTGGAAAGAGTGCTCCTCGAAGTCTTAAACTCCTCCAGATAAGGATTCAGATGTTAATAAAATCTGCTGAGCAGTATCCGGTTGCTGTGTGGAATTGGGTAACAGATTTCATTGCTTGTGAGTAAAGCCAGTGCAGCATTTTGTACACTGACAAAGGCAGTGTACCCAAGTCCCTGATGATCATCCTACTCGAAATTGTCATGGCAGTAAGTTACCAGGCTCAAGTCAGTTTTTAAAATTTTTCATAGTAGCTGAGTTATAAAAATTAATATAGGATTAACACCCTGTGCTTTTCAAGCCTTTTCCCCCCCTCAACCTGGAGATTTCTGATATTCGAAATATTGGGCACCTTTTTTCTACAGTAGTTATATGAGAAAAATAGGAGCATACTTTTTTTTTCAGAATTCAGAGATGGCTGTCCTTTGAAATAATTACCATTCTTCCATCTCTGCCTCCCTCCCTTGGCTTGAAATAGGTTTTATGAATTAAACCCTTCTGGATGTCTGCATTTTGTCTTCCTTGCATCTGTATTTAAGAGGGCTTTTCCCCTGTGATGCCATGTGTGCAGTCCTTGACCTCCCACCCCAGACCTTCAAGTAGAGGTTGTAATTATGCTCCAACAAGCTCTAGAAGTGAAATATTCATTTCAGTTATTTTGGCATCAGTCATGA